CTGGGTGTTTTCCAACAACGTACACAGATGACACAGTGTAACACTGTGTCTTACACAAAGTGTTCCAACTGTGACACAGTGTTACACTGCTCGACACTGTAAAAAGCTAAGTACGAACGTGTAGAGTATGTCAGTGTTACCAATTAGAGCTCTATCGTTCCAACAAGTCTTTACACAGTGGAGCACAGTGTAACGTTTCTGTGTCCTAGCTGGAAAACAGCCTCTGTTAGAGGGTCTCTAAGACACAGTGTTACACTGTGTCATCTGTGTACGTTGTTGGAAAACACCCTAGGTTGCTTTCCATCAAGGCTTTTAGGCGACACACATCAACACAGTGTCGAACGCGGTGCTTTGCAACAACGACACGCCACGGCACAATGCGACACAGCAGAAAAGCATAGTCGGACACTTTTAGTTATGGTTGCCAATTTTCGGTTGGCGCTTTAGAATATTTACATTTTAAATATATGTTCGATATAAGAAGTATGTTCATAAGTCATCTGGATTATTTTAATGTAAAAAATAATATCTACGCATAAGATTATTATCCAACAAGAGACACAGAAGTGACACGGTGTGACACGGCAATCGTTGCATCCTTGTCGTTCGCTAATGTTAAATAATGATGAGGTGATTACAGTGTCGTAGATGGAAAGCAACCTAAAGCGGGGAGCACAGACTTTTGCATAACACATAAACCATATACATAAAGAATTTGATTGGTCCATTGACTCATGCATAAGAAAATGGACCAATGAAATTCCTTATGCACATGCTTTATGCGTTATGCAAAAGTCTGTGCTCCTCGCTTAAGAGTCTGGCCAAGGTCTAGTTCGACAAAACATGGCGTCGTCGTACGTAACCAAAAACGTGATGTGATCGATGTGGTACTGAACTATTCGATAAAATAATGAAACGGTATATTACATTTCGCATAAAAATTGATTGCAACAAAGGACGATTACGAAATAAGAATTACATATATAGTAGTAAAACTATGACTAGGCATGCTGCTATTAAATGATATAATTTACTTATATCATTTTAATGTATTTATAAGTAAATTAGAGGATATGTTTACTTATGAATACTATTAAAATTCATTTGTATTTGTATTTTTACATTAAATAAAATGTTAAAAATAACTTTATTATCTCATTGTTCTGTTCCTACTGATTGAATAAAGCTGGTGCTGTTTAATAATAATGCTGCTATTAAATGATATAATTATTTATTTATGAATACATTAATTGAAATTATATTTGTATTTTCACATTAAAAAAATTGTTAAAAACAGCTTTATTACATTATTGTTCTATTCTTATTATTTCTATGATTCTTACTAGTTGAATTATACCGCGTCCAAGATATTAATTCGAGACACTTCATTGGCTCTGCCATATTTTGTCGAAACCAATAGGCTGGATGACAACCTTGGCCAGACTCTTAGTATAGGGACTCTAGTACTAGGGACCCTCAAGTAAGGGATCAGACACGATCGCCATTAAAGAGATACCGGAAGTACACCCACGGTAATTAATTCTGTCCCACGGAAATTTTCACAAAATAAAAAATGACCACCTTTCTATATTAATTGTCACCATCTATGCACGATTAACGTTACGACTGAACCTTATCGTGCATGAATAGTGATAATTAATACAGAAAGGAGGTCACTTTTCATTTTGTGAAAATTTCCGAGGGACAGAATTAATTACCGTGGGTGTACGTTAGTTAATGCGCGGGAGTATTCAAATGCATTGTTATTAAGACCTGTATTAAACAAGCTAGAATAAAATGATAAATTCTGCGCATCATACGTAAAACGGAACATAGTTAAGAACTTTGTGAACTGCTCCCTGTCTTTACGTTAATATGTGATAAATATGATAATTCTATCATTATATATAATATATATATTATAATAGTTATATAATATTATATCTACTTACATTACATAAAGCAGAGTACTTTTTAGGTGTCTGTTGTGTGAGCGTGTAGGGGGCGTATGTCGAGGGGCAGAGCGCGCACGCACGCACAACAAGAGGCCACCCGAGTAGCATGTTAGAGCATATTTGATTGCTGAATCCATTAGATAGACGACCTTTCCTATTCCTTAAACGTTCCCAATACATGGTGTCAGAAGTGGGATCCAGTGAACAGAAGTATAACTGTACATAAGGAAAGGTTTAAAAAGAGTAAAGCATCGCCGTAAGGTAACCTCAAAATGGCTTCTACGGTGAACATCCAAGCATCGGGGGAACTCGATTTCAGTAAGCCAGAACAATGGTCGAATTGGATTAAACGTTTCGAGAGATATTTGACGGTGAGCAAGTTAGCAGCAGGTTCAGATAAGGAGAAAATAGACTTATTATGCTATTCGATGGGCGAAAGATCCGAGGAAATACTAACTCAAATTATGCCGGCTATTACGACTTCTACCACATTTGAATTGGTTAAGAATAAGTTCGACTCGTACTTCAGACCAAAGAAGAATGTCATCTTTGAAAGATTCAAGTTTAACTCAAGAAAACAGGAAGCAGAAGAAAGCGTCGATTCATTTGTTACGGCGTTATACTCATTAGCAGAGACGTGTGAGTTTGGAACTATCAAGAATGAGCTAATTCGTGATCGTATAATAATAGGCATTCGAGATACTCGAGTTTCAGAAAAGTTACAATTGATAAACGATTTAACCGTCGATAAAGCGCTTGAAATAGCCCGTCAAGCAGAGACACAGGCGAGAGAGGGGAAGAGATTAAGACAAGAAGTGGAAGAAGAAACAAAGGTGGATCGTGTCTCCCAAAAGAGAAGAAATTTTCCTCGCCATAAATTTAGCAACGACGGAGAAACTTCCCGCCGGACGGAACAGGTATGCGGTAGATGCGGATATCCAAATCACTTGAAAGGTAGGAAATGTCCCGCAGCAAAATCAATATGCCATAAATGTAAGAAAGCAGGCCACTGGGATCGAATGTGCAGATCAAGAGGAGTACGACGTCTGGAAGACGAAGCCGAAGTCGCCTATGCATTCATCGGAGCGGCCACCGACACTACGAGCAAAATAGACTTTAAGTGCCAAGCGCATGCGCGAGAATTTGCGAAACCGTTACATTTTATTATAGACACCGGTGCTGACATTACATGTGTCTCAGAGAAGTGTATCCCGGGCAAAAATAGGGAAAAGTTACTCAGGTCAGATAAGATTATTTCGGGGCCGGACGGAAGAAAATTACCGGTAATAGGTTATCTATATGTAACGCTAGAAAGGGAAAAAGTAACAGCCCAGTCGAAAATTTATGTTATTCGCGGATTAAAGCAGAATTTGTTAGGCAAACCAGAAATAGAAAAATTCGGTTTAATTCAGAAGATTAATAATGTGAAAGGGAACAATATAAATGAGATAGTCTCTAAGTATGTAGAAGTTTTCAAAGGGATCGGTCAGTTTAAGAAAGAGCTTAGTATCGAAGTTAAGGAAAATACAAAACCACATTTTGAAGCAGTTCCTAGAACCGTCCCAATCCCTTTACTCCCAAAACTAAAGAAGGAATTAAATAAACTCTTAAAGCTAGGAATTGGTAGATTTATGTTTACTAGGTTACCATTCGGCATCAATTGCGCTCCTGATTACTTTTCACAAATGTTTTCTGAATTGTTCCGAGATCTGCCGAACGTCGTCGTTCATGTTGACGACATTTTGATTCATTCAAGTAATAGCGTAGAGCACAGTAAAATACTTGAAACAGTTTTAGCTAGATTAAAAAAAGAAGGTATCACCTTAAATAGGAAAAAATGTGTCTTTGGAGTCAAACAAGTAGAGTTTCTAGGACATATGATTTCGAGAGAAGGAATTAGAGAGAAGGAATTGATCCTACCATCAAGAATTTCCGCAATTATGAACCTCCCAGTTCCAAAAAATAAAGAATCTCTGTTGCAAGTCTTAGGTTCATTAAATTACGTAAGCAAGTACTTACCTGACAAATCTCATATTTTAGCTCCTTTGAATTCTTTACTACAAAAGAACACCCCATTTGAGTGGAAGGCACCCCAGCAAGAAGCGTTTATTAGAATAAAGGAGTTACTTACAAAAGCTCCTACACTTGCACATTATGATTATCACAAAAATATTATAATTCAGGCTGACGCATCTAGTTTTGGCATAGGTAGCGCGTTGATACAGGAAGATGAACACAAAGAACGAAAAGTAGTAGCATATGCGTCCAGAATGTTAACTAATTCTGAAAAAAAATACAGCCAAATTGAAAAAGAAGCACTAGCGTTAACATGCGCAGTAGAACATTTCAAAGATTTTGTTACTGGAATCGATATAACTTTAGAGACTGATCATAAACCTCTAGTTCAAATTCTGCTGTCTAAACCTCTAGATGAGTTAACACCTAGATTGCAACGAATTAGAATGCGTTTAATGCGTTATAACTATAAAGTCACATTTGTACCAGGAAAACAATTAGTTTTGGCAGATTGCCTTTCTAGAAACCCGGTAGTAGGCATAGATGAGACGGGGAAAGAATTCACTGAGGAAATCGACCATTATATACGTTTCGTCACTGATCATCTTCCTGTAACTCAAAATTTTTTACAAAAAATTAAGATTAAGCAAGGAAAAGATGCTTCATGCGCAAAATTGAAAGAATATTGTCTAAATAAGTGGCCGTTAAAAGATAGATTACCAGATAAATTACGGACCTATTATCAGTTTAAAGATAAAATTTCATTCTCCAATGGATTTCTTATGTTAGATACAAGACTAATCATATCCCCTCCGTTACAACGGGAATTACTTTTAAGATTACATGAGGGACACTTAGGTTTAAACAAGTGTAGAGAGAGAGCCAGACAGTCAATTTGGTGGTTGGGAATAAGTAAGCAATTAAAATATTTGGTCGAAAACTGTCCTAATTGCGTTGAGCAAAGATCAAACATTAAGATGCCTTTTGTAAAAGAAGCGTTTCCCAACCGCCCTTGGCAAAAAGTAGGAGTAGATTTGTTTAAGCTGGATGCGTGGTATTTAGTTATAGTAGATTATTATTCTAGATATTGAAATTTCTAGATATTGAAATTTCTCAACTGAAGACATTAACAGAACGAGAAGTCATAACAAAATGCAAAGAAATTTTCGCGAGATATGGCATTCCAGAGACAGTAAGAAATAACTGCGGTACTCAATTTGCGTTCATCCAATGGATTTCTTATGTTAGATACAAGACTAATCATACCCCCTCCGTTACAACGGGAATTACTTTTAAGATTACATGAGGGACACTTAGGTTTAAACAAGTGTAAAGAGAGAGCCAGACAGTCAATTTGGTGGTTGGGAATAAGTAAGCAATTAAAATATTTGGTCGAAAACTGTCAACTGCGTTGAGCAAAGATCAAACATTAAGATGCCTTTTGTAAAAGAAGCGTTTCCCAACCGCCCTTGGCAAAAAGTAGGTATAGATTTGTTTAAGCTGGATGCGTGGTATTTAGTTATAGTAAATTATTATTCTAGATATATTGAAATTTCTCAACTGAAAACATTAACAGAACGAGAAGTCATAACAAAATGCAAAGAAATTTTCGCGAGATATGGCATTCCAGAGACAGTAAGAAGTGACTGCGGTACTCAATTTGCGTCCGAATTCCGCCGCTTTGCGAAAGAATACGATTTCGAACACATAACTAGCTCACCCAAATATTCTCAAAGTAATGGTGCGGCCGAAGCTGCGGTAAAGATAGCAAAGAATATCCTTAAAAAATGTAAGGAGGATGTAAATTTAGGACTATTAGCTTATAGGACTACACCACTAGAAAACGGCTACTCGCCCGCAGAGCTCCTATTTTCTAGGAAAATTCGTTCTCGATTACCAATATTACCTGATAAATTAGGATCATTTAAAGAACATTGTAAGGTTTCAAAAAAAGAAACCGAAAGGAAAGATAAACAGGAGCGTGATTATAATAGAAGACATCGTTCAAAGCCATTATCTATTTTAAAAACAAATGATAATGTATGGGTGGTAGATTTACGCGTATACGCAAAAATCACAAGACAAGATAGGAATCCTAATTCTTATATCATTAAGACGGAGAAGGGTAGCGCAGTACGCAGAAACCGATGGCATCTGATACCGGCACCGTATAAACGGAACACAGAATTTGATTACAGTTATGATCCGGACAGGGCCGTATCTGGGTATAAAGTCGCCTGCGTGTAAGCTTGGTACTAGGCGCTCCTCCCCTTCATATTATATAAAATAAAGGAATACAATACAATAATTAATAATAGACTGCATATATTTTAATAAAAAAAAATATTTTAATTTGACTAATATGGAGTCAACGCGATAATCAAATCGCAAATTTGTAAAAAGAGTTGTTAATAAACACATGATATGTAATTACTAATTACATAGGCAATTGGATATTTCGGCCATTGTTTTTAGCCATCCTCAAGGAGGATTATCCACTCTGATTATTCACTGATTCAAAATTATTTAATAAAATCCACTAATCTGAGCTTTAATATGGAGTTTTTTAAATAAGAAGCACGAACACTAGTAATACTAGTCTAATGTATTGTGTTAATGTATATTAATTATAAAGCGCCTTGGCAACTTGTGATTTTGGCGCCCTCATAAAAAAGCGCCTGCATGTGATACACGCATTGCCCGCCCGGTAGCTACGGCCCTGGATCCGGAACTAGTAGATAACAGCGATGTCCCGGTGACTTTAGACGAGAATAATGAGCAAGCGTTGAATGAACGAGATGTGTGTGATGAACGAAATGTTAGCGGTAGCTCCGATAGGGAAGAAACCGACAGCGAATTGCAAGAGGTCAATATACCTCGGAGATCGACGCGAACTAGAGCACCTAGTAGTATCTTCCGTGATTTCTTCACTTTCTGAATTAAGATGTTTTATCCTTCCTTTTTCGCAATTTGCATAATACTCATGTATACACTCCATTTCATAAAATAGTAATGTAACGTCTATTCTTTTACTTGTAAAAACCTTTAATAAAAAAAGGAGGATGTTGTGTGAGCATGTAGGGGGCGTATGTCAAGGGGCAGAGCGCGCACGCACGCACAACAAGAGGCCACCCGAGTAGCATGTTAGAGCATATTTGATTGCTGAATACATTAGATAGACGACCTTTCCTATTCCTTAAACGTTCCCAATACAGTGTCCAACCGACACGACCGGAGGCATGAACATAGGTTATCTATTTTTCTCTTCTTGTGGGAGATTACGGGAAATGGCGCATTATATGGCTATTTCTACTTGAATATTTGCAATTTGGAACTTCACAGTATTGCATTTCGCAATGATTTAAAAAATATATAAACTGTATTATCGAACCGTACATACGTATAATATATCTACCTATATCTTAAACAAACAGTACTAAGCAACTAAATCAGCAATTACTAACCTAACCAATGGAAGGTAATATCCCACTAATGGGGCAGCCAATCCGCACCTTTCACGCTGTTGTCTGACCCCTTACTTGAAGGTCCCTAGTGTGTATAGTATAAAGATTTGACATATACCCCATTTTGTTGTATCATCAACAAGTGTCAAACGCGCATAAGTGATAAATTGAAAAAGTGTTTGCATAGTATTGTTTAGCTGTGTTCAATATGTCGAAATTTGTGCCAAATAAAGAGCATTCGCGGACAGCATTAACTTTTTGTTTTTATTTGAAGAAAACTGCTGCTGAATCATATCGATTACTTCGAGAAGCTTATAGTGAACATGCTCCATCGCAAGATACGTGTGAAGGATGGTTTTGGTGTTTCAAAAGTGGTGATTTCGATGTTGTAGACAAGGAACACGGAAAACCGCCGAAAAGGTACGAAGATGTAGGATTGCAAGCATTATTGGACGAAGACGCGCGATTCACAAATACAAAAACAACTCGCAGGGCAATTGAGCGTTAGTTAACAAGCTGTTTCCAATCGCTACGAGAGATGAGAAAGATTCAGAAGGTCGGCAGATGGATACCACATGAGTTGAACAGCAGATGGAGAGGCGCAAAAACACATGTGTAATTTTGCTCGAACGATACAAAAGAAAGTCGCTTTTGCATTGTATCGTTATTGGGGATCAAAAGTGGATATATTTTGAGAATCCCAAGCGCAAAAAATCATGGGTTATAGACCCAGGCGCACCATCCACACCGACCGCAAGACCGAATCACTTTGGCAGGAAGACGATGCTCTGTGTTTGATGGAACCAGAAGGGTATGGTCTATTATGAACTGTTAAAGTCTGCTGAAACGGTTAATACCAAACGCTACCAATAACAATTGATCGATTTGAACCGTTCGCTACTCGAAAAACGACCAGAATATCGAAAAAGGCAACACAAGATTATTTTTCTCCGTGACAATGCTCCATCACATACGGCAAAACCGGTTTGTGACACGTTGGAAGCACTCATCAGCTGGGAAGTGCTAGCCCATGCGGCTTACCAGACTTGGCTCGTTCCGATTAACACTTGTTTGCATCGATGGGTCATGCACTTGCTGAGCAGCGCTTTCGTTCGTACGAAGATGTAAAAAAATGGCTCGATGAATGGTTCGCGGCAAAAGGGGAAGATTTTTACTGGCGCGATATCCACAAATTACCCGAAAGATGAGAAAAATGTGTAACTAGCAATGGAACACACTTTGAATAAACCACTTTTTATCATTCTTCCGAATTTAACGTGTTTTTTTTTTTAAATTCCGCATTTCATATTTGTACACCTGGTACATACATACGCGCGCGCATATTTCTATGCAGTGTTCCTCCATTTAAATTTTGTACTATACCAAAAAGGATATAGGATATTAATAAAATGTTTTGGAAATACAACGGGTTCGAGAACCGAGGTGTGCACACGCGGACATAAATGCCTACCCACCTGAACTTGCCTTCTTTGAATATATTGAGATATTCCGGCAAGTACAAGTGGGTAATACTATTAGATAAAAGCGTCAGAAAGGTATAGCGGTTACTTTCGCTTGTTTCATCGGGTCGATTGTTCCATCTTTTGATAAAATTTACCTGTGATAAGTAGCAAGATTACGTGCATGGATTGCCAGATTTATCTAACAGGTAAACTTTACCGAAAGATGGAACAATCGGTACTTAATGAAATTATATGAATTTTGGCAAAATAAAATTTCTCAAATGATATATAACAGTATTAAGGTAATATTAAAAAGTCAAGAAATGTTTAAAATACCAATAATTTACGAGATATTTTATACTTTCACGTATTTCTGGCATATTGACATACAATTTTATGTAACTCGTAAGATATTGATTTTTGATATTTTTATTTTAATTTTTATACATAAAATAATTAAAGGAATCACATTATGTAAAAAAAATATAATTGTACACCCGAAAAAGTAGTAATCTTCATACGTACATGGTACATGTATGAAGTCTTCATCTATAAAAAAAGCAACGTAATAAAAATACGCTTTAAAACCGTGCCCCTTCATGTAAAACATTTTTAGAATCATCAAAAATGAATGAAATATTTAAAGTCTTTAAATTAAATGTGGATCACACACACATCTGTGTTTACAAAAATATTGAACTTTAAATATGTGAAATAGCCGCACATTCTAATCAATTGCAAAAAAAGTTACAACTATAGATTAAATATAATCCTATACGCTAAAAATATGTTTAGTATTTCTCGTACGTATCTTTGTGTAATTTGATAAAATAAAACAATTATGATTTATTTGCAGGCACATCCACCTACAATTATGCCTTATATCACGTAAATTAAATAAAATATTTAAAATACCAATATTAATACAAATACTGTGGTACTTTGTAATCGATGTAACTACAGCTATCAATATCTATTATATACACGTATACGGCGCAGAAATATGGACATTACAAAATACTCTCATCTTTTTAAGTCATATTTTAAAATCCATGCCGCATTTCATCTTATTTCTTACAACACATTACTTTTGTCAAACGGTTTACGATAAGGTATAGTATAATTAAAATGTTACTAATTATTTAAGTTTGGAATAAAAAGCAACAATTTTGCATAAATGAAATTACATAGGTAGCTTTTCCCAAATAACATAATCTTATTTCAAGAAACTAAAATCGTAATAAAAAATCTAAAAACACGGTTACCATTTGACATCTTTTGATTACGACCAGTCAAAATAAAATTGGTGCAACCGAAATCCGAGTACCTATCATGGAACAAAGTCGGAATGGATTCCGATCGGAATTATTCCGTGTTCCCTAAAAAACACAATAGAAATCTAGGGAATAATTGAACAATTCCGATCGGAATCCATTCCGACTTGGTTCCATGATAGGTGCCTGAACATCCATCCTGAAAAAAACATTGTAGATTTTCAGATTTTTTAAAAATCCTTTTGTATGTAATAACCTCCTTATATTAATTTGTTTTACAAATAATTTCTATACTATAAAAACATATTAGTCCTAGAATATTGCGTTTTAATGCGACACGTACCAGCCAAGCTTTTTCTTCACTACTAATTGTCAATCCAGTTGACAATTTTAGTCACTTTTAGTCTACCTTATGTGTCTTGCGTTATTGTATAATAAAATATGTACTTGGGTAATTGCATTTATTTCAGTTATCCGATTTTTATTAAGAAGAATATAACGATCTCAATATTTATGCACTTGCAATAAGTTTACTTCGTTTTATAGGAGTAATTTTAGGAAAAAAACGATTTCAGATAAACGAGACACTAGCGATTCTTTACAAATTATCGAATAATAATCTCGATAGAGATTTACGTGAACAGGTAAATAATTATAATAAAATTTTTATAAAATTTGAACTTTTCTATGCGTAATTTTATTATCGCCTATAGAAATTTGGACACCTGCATGAATTTTATCGAATAATTGTGTAAGAAATAAAAACATTAAGAAATAAAAGGCAACAAATGTATTATACACTCTTGTATATATTAGAATATTTGTGCACACTATACATACTAACATTAGGTATATAAGAATATAATAGAGTGTAGAAAAAATGTTATAACTAATTCTTTATTTTATACGTCAATAGCGAATATTTGATAGCGAATTTATCGATTATATTATCAATGTCCTACAAAATATATAATATATATATATGCACTGTTTGGCTTATAAAATTAAAAATATTTTATAACACTTTTGCAATTAATGATAATGTA